CGGAACTCGGCAGGAGGAATCGTTCCAAACAATTCTTCAGCACCGTCGTATATGCGGTAGAAAATGCAGAGGGAACTAACGTCTCTCCGCAGCGCCAGAGTGTCGAGCCGATCAGTTTCTCCCTTATCCAAGTTGCTAAAAAAATAACTAAATTTATGATTTATTATAAGCACTTAAACTTAGCTCATTGTAATTTCGGAATCATCACGTAAATTTGCAAAACCCTAAAACTAAATTGACAACATCAATGCCACTTTAAACAATAATGGTCTTAAACACGTAAAGGTTAAAGTTCACTTCCATTCGAACCTTTAAAATGCTACGTATTTGGTGAATAAATGTATTACAATTTACGGAATAATAAAAGTAATAAACATAAATAATATAAATAATTTCGTTCAAGTATAATATCAAACCATGATTCGAGTTAAAACAAAGACTAACAAAGAAGTAATATAATTTATTTTTACCAAACAAATACTTGTTGAATGTAATATTTACAAGTACAACAAAGTTGAATTATGTGTTTCCAATTGTATATACAAGCAAGCAATAAATTTCTATATATAAATGTATAAAAATCAAATTGCTGTTCGTTAGTCTCGCTAAGATTCGAGAAGGCAAGAAGATTAATCTTATCTTAGTCTTGAAATGTTCGTGAAGGTCTAGGGAAGGTTTTAAAGGTAAAACAAATTCGAATATTTGCCGGGAACTAATTAAGTTTTTTTTTCATTCCACGCAGACGTAGTCGTGGGCTACAGTTAGTTCTTTTTATAAAGATGTATACTTTGTAGAAGACTGTTATATTTGTTTAGATTTATATTTCCCGTATTGTGAATATATTTTCATTACCCTATATGTATGATGTATGACCAGAGTACGTAAATGCTTGGACCCTTAGTACAGTAAATCTTATTAAGATGACAACAATCGAAATAAGGCCAAGAATGGGTGATTAAACATGATTTAGAACCAAACTGTTATAAAATAACCTTTTATATCTTGCCAAATTGATCTTTAGCCTTATTTTTTTTGCTTGTCTACATTTTAGTTAATTGTTGAACCCTTGTCGGCACAGTATGTACTACTCCTCCATACATCTCTATTAGCCGTCATATCCGAATCTACCCCTATCTTACGCATATCCTATTTCACATAATCCATCCATACTTTCTTTGGTCTTACTCTACCTTTGTAGCCATCCACATTCAATCTTTACTATTATCTCAATTACATCGATGAATCTTATGGTTTTATTTAGGCTTAGTCACAGATATATAAGGTAAGAAAAGTTGGTACGCATTTATTTATTTTATCCTCTCGCAAAAAACATTTGTTGTTTTTCGCAATCCTTTATTATCACGATATTTAAGATCAATCAGATTAGACAATTTAATTGTTAAATCAATGATATAACGCAACAGTAAACACGACTTTTTCATTATGATCAAAAATCGTGAACAATTATAATAGAATGATAAACAATTTAATTTGTGATCTGTTTGAATCTAAGTCTTTATTAAAAGCGGTAAAGTTCTTGCTGTTTCAGATTAATGAGCGCGCGTACGATTTGCGTTATCGTTATTATTGGAGAATAGGGATGGGGCAGATAATATCGAGTCTGCGGTTATCGACGAAATTTATCGATGGGAAGGAACGCTTCGTTAATTCTGGTCGAGCTGTAAAATTATATAAAATGAAGCATTATGTCCGGAATGGAATTTTCGCGTTTAATAGGTGCTGTGGAATTGAGCGTTTATTTTAAACGATTCGGTTTTCACTGATTTATTGAAATGTTGATTTTCAACTTTAAATATTCATATTATTTTATGCTAGCATTTTTATGTATATTTGAAATTTGTTTGGTTTTAGACAACTATGATTACAGTGAGTTGTCAACAAAAGAAATTGAGTTGCGAAAAATTAAAATTGTTTAAAAATGCTTAAAATATTCTAATAACTTTATCACACCTTAATACAAATGTCTTTTTCATATCTAAAATTTTTCGTGACTTAATTTCTACCGAACTTAACTAATTATTGAGTTTATACTGTAAATATTATGTGTTATTTCTGTACAAAGTAAGCTTCTAAAGGCAGTCGCCGTATTAAATACAAGGATAAACAATTTGACGTTCCGACATCTGCAAACAGAGAGCAAGTTGACGCCTAAGTATAATATTTATTCGATTAATAGAACGATATGTCAACACACGCTCGATATCGATGCGTGGGAATTTCTTATACGTGTACTACACTAGAAATTCCTCGTGACTTTGCTATGAAGGTTAAAAAACTTAAAATTATTTTTAAATATCTCTTACTTATATTTCTTATTACTTCTTTCTTACTTATATTTGTTATTTAAATATATAACAATCTTTTAGTTAATTTCACGCGTTGGATTGGAAGATGGAAAATAATTGAAGAACATAAAATCTAATAATTCAAAATTATATTTTAGCACTACTTGTTATGCCTACGCCTTCTAATTAGTATTCAAAAACATGCTATAAATACATCAAACGTGTAAAACCTAAAAGGCAAATAAAATGAACATTACAGCCGTCCATTTAGCGACAACTCAAGAAGGTATGGAGAACAATAAGCCAAACAAAACATCAGAGGACTGAGTAGACTCGACAGCGCCGCAGCGATTGAATTTCAAATTAAAATTTCAGTTCATGAAATATTAACACGATAAAGCTGCGGTCACACTGGGAGATATTCAAATGGAATGCAGCGCGAGTGTGCCCAGCCGTGTGTTATGCTAAGCTAGGACTAGGCTAAAGACACTTATAAGCTTAAGTATGTAACGGATTGTATTATGTATTGTAACGTGAATAAAATTTTAATTAATTACTTCACACCTTTGATTGTTGGGTATCAAACTTGAGTCAAGACAATCTTTCAAATATTATACGTTTGGACGGATGGATGGATGGATGGATGTTTGTTTGAAGATATCTCCAAAACGCCTGTATAGATCTCGCTGAACTTTGGCATAGATGTAGAACATAGTCTGAAAGAACACATAGGCTATTAAAGCTTTTTTTAATTCCGCGCGGATGGAGTCGCGGGCTACAGCTAGTATATTTACAGAAACATTAAATGTAATCACTCCATGTATTCTAATCGTACCTTTAGAGACAATTTGGTCTCCTTAAAGTGAAAATATAAAACGCTTCATGCTTCTTAATTATCGAAATACAAATTAGCTGAATATATGCTAGGGTTATGCACAGGTTTAACATATTCGATGCATTTCCAATGTAACCTGACTGTTCCGGTATTTTTAATGTTTAACAAAGATTAGCCAGATTGCACATTCATACAATGTATTATACATACTATGTTTAAAGGTAAGATCTTCTGATAAGATTGTATTAAATTGTTTAACATAAATAACTCATATAAGTTACATAAAATAATCATTCGTTTACATCTTAACATCTGTTGAACAAGTTACAACTACGTGCAACACAAAAGAACTCAATTAAAAGCTCAGAAGTTGTAAACAAAAAGCTTAATCTCTCAATCGGATTCAAGTCGCGCGTCGTGCAACGCGTGTTGCAAGTTGAATGCGCAGGCGCATGCCATTAGCACCGCCCGTGGCCGCGACCAATGCGATGAGGTACCGCAAGAACACGTACATATTTACATAAAACTTTAATGTAGTAACATATCTTTATTTTGATGCATTCCTCACAGCGGGAAAACTTTTTTATTTTCAAACACACCCTACTTAAGGACTGAATAACTTATAAAAAGTAATTTCAGTAAATTACTGACTCAAGATTATTGTTATAAAAACACTCAACCAAAATATTTTCCATTTAACATTTTAACCTTTAACATTACTAACTGTGGGTTTCTGACACAATAATCTCTGTACAAAACATATCGTCATCGATATCATTATTTTTTGACAACACAGATATAATGATATGTTTTGAATGTAGATTTTGTAATAAACTTATATAAAAACGGCTAAACACTCACGTATATTTGTCCGGTGTCGGCACCGACTAGTTTCGAGCCCATAGAGGGCCATCATCAGGGTGAGTGGGACTGGTATTATTTCGCGGACGCGGCCCGACGCTTACTCAAGGAGAGCAGATTTTGTACTCGGAAACCCAGGGTAAGTAGACTAAATTTTATTAAATAAATGTAAAATGAATGAATATAAAAATGTATAAAAATATCAAATATATATATTTTTTACCTATAAAAAATCTGTTACAACTGTATTTTGTGTTGACATTACTCATATTATATAAATGGAGAAAGAAATATTTAGGACAGTATTGTTTTCACAAACCACTAAGCATGTCTGTATTTATTTCGCCATCCTCAATATTCGAGTTCGTTATTTTTTCAAACAAGTGTGTATATTTTTATTTTTAACAAAACGAACGTTCAGTAGACACCGTATATTCAATGTATATCAATGGAGCTGAATAAATGTGGTATCGCATTATGCGAAGTGTTCTTAGAAGGGATTTCGTATCATTCAATGGACCTTTTCGATTTTAAGTCCGACCGTCCTCGTTTTATCTATGTTGCCTTCAGAATAAACATGTTTAAATACATTTCTTACTGGAATTTAAACGTTTCTTTACTAAGATTCAATTACATGCGATTGGATAAAAAACTCTTTACACATATTTAAGGCTTATTTCTTTTTAATTTTTTGTGTAGCTGTCGCCCGCGACCACATTCGTGCGGAATTAAAAAAAAACTTAATTAGTAGCCTATGTGTTCTTCCAGGCTATGTTCTACATTTATGCCAAATTTCAGCGAAATCCATGAAACCGTTCTGGAGATATCTTCAAAGAAATATCCATTAATCCATCCAAGCACTCGCATTTATAATATAAATAAGATAGTAAGATTACATTTTAATTTCGCATTCATAATCAGAATTAAAAAGTTGTATTTAAATTGAAATTGGAAAATTGAAATAACATTTTAATTTAAATGTAGTAAACTGAACTTACCTCATATAGCCATTAGCTCCGAGTCTCATATAACATAGACTATTAATTTGTAAAGATCTGTAACAATTTAAAAATAGAACATTAATAAATAAATCACATTGTGTGGAAAATTACGCGTCAAATTATTCACATTATTTAAATGGTTAATTATTAAATAAAATAAATATATTCATGCATCGTGCATTGTTTCGCGTAGATTAGTCTAGGAGTCAGTAACGCGCAGTCATTCTTTTATATTGAATACTTTATTTCGCTCCGACGCTAATGAGATCCAGCACCGGCTAACCCTTTCGATGGGGTGGCGTGCCGTTTGTAAATTATGAAGTCAGTGTGAAAATTATGCCCGTACACTCAGCAGTGCAGTTAATTACATCTGTTCCTATGTAACATACCATCTACAACTTTATGCTTATAACTTTAAGGGCGGATTCCGTTTAACAAGTCGCCAGATGGTGCGATAAGCTACATCGGTGATTTCATGCAAGCATAAATAATGTAGTGAGCTATTCTATTTAATTATTTAATGAAATTGGACTCCTGTATCATCGTAAACCAGTGCGTGGTGTCCCTCGGTTAATATTCTCTTTGTAACTGCGCCTGCGGCTACGTAATTTGTTCGGTCAACAAAATTAATTTAAACCAAAGTTGGGCGGTTAGTTGTGAGGCCGATTTTTTTTTTAAATTAAAACATACTGTTATAAGATAATTAAAAACTAGACAGCCAATTATTACTGTTTATATTAATAATAAAAACGAATAATTATTAATAAACGCACCGCTAATCATTTATTTAAATTGTTTCGGCAGCTACCAACAAATAAACACAAATATTAAAATACTAAAAACAAAAAGAGAAGCGGGAAAATATATAAACTATTTGGTAAACAAAGAGCAGCGGACATTATCGGGGTCAGAGGGCTCACCGCACATTCTTGTCAAGTGTATTAAGTTTCGTTTCGCACGCGAAGGGCCGGACCTTTAGCCTGAGGTTTTAATAAACTTCGCCTGACCTACCGGAGTTTGGGTGTCAATCGGGAAAATTATGGGATAGCCAATGTCACTTATAAATAGTATTTCCTAAACTTCTGGAAATATTTTTACACTTTTCAAAATTTTACAAATGCTTATATTTTTTTCCTCCCTTTATTTGAAGTGGTCATGGGGGTTAGATAAGTGCATCCGCTACGAAGTTATTCCATAAGGAAGTTCAAAAATCTATAGAACTGACAATAACTTTCGATAAGTCACGTGATTATCGCGCGTCAGTTTTATACAATTTTGAAGTTCGCTATAGAATCGTTTCGTAGCGAATGCACTTTGTCTAACCTCTCTGGTTAGGTAAGGTTAGAAAAGATATAGCTTACAGCATAAGTCTGGTGCGGAATTTAAGCAAAATAAATACGCAAAATAATACAAATGCGTTTTCTTTACAAAACATATACGAGTTGGAGGGAGCTAAATATTTTCTCGTTACCGATAAGCTAACGTGAGTCAGAGCGTAAGACTCAAAAGCTTGGCTGAGTTAGATAACGTTCACACTGCAGACCTGAATTGTATAGCTCGCACGCCGTGTAATGGTTTATGTATAAACATAAATTGTACTGTACAACGCCAGATCGTGTGGCGAGTACTTTACTTTCAGAAAACGTTGATGTCGAACTTTGCTATGGTAGTATACATGTTACAGTTTTTTCTTTACAAAATTGTTCTGAGATGATTTATTTTTTTTATTTTTAGGGGGCAAACGAGCAGCGGAAACAACGAGGTGTTCATCGACGCCCAAGGACTACAAGACTAGAGGAACGGCAGATAAGTTGCCGGCTATTGATAAGGTGATGAGAGTTAAAATCACTGTAAATTAACATTTAAGTAATTTGCTTTGTAAAAATGTGTAGTATTTTTTGTAACCATTCATTTGTTGTCATTGAAAATTTTTTTTAAGTGAACAATTGGTAATATCGATCTTATTCTCTTTACAATCTTGAGTTTCCGTTAGCTGTCAATACGTCAGCAATTGAACATTGTTTACCCCACTTTGGAATAAATAGTTAAATGAACAGCGACAGGCGTCAAGCAGGCCGTAGTCGTCGATTCGTTCAGCATTCTAGGTCAGCAACGGGTGTTGAAGTACACAGAGTAGCCACTCTCAGCAGGCCAACTAGTCGGGAGAGTATTAATTACACAGCTTGTGCGAAGTAGAACGCGTGTAGGCCTCAAGCGGATTTAGGTTAATGAAAAAAAATTTATATTGCGCAACATTTTTTTCTCTACTCCGCTTCAACTATTGTAAGCAACTGCTCTGTGATTGATTTGTAGTCAACTCTTTGACTTAGTTGTTACAATAATACAACTATTATTGAAAATAGTACAAATAATAAATTGAACCTGCGAAGCGTTTTAAGAAATGTTTTTCTACAAAGACTAGAATTAGAACTACAAAGCACAACCATCTTTACACCATTTAACAAAAACAATTGTAAAATGTGCAAACGTAGAAAAAAAAGATTTACATACCAACTATAAGAGTACTGGCAGCGTAATAAAAAGAAATAAAAATTTTAAATTTTAAAAATGGAATTTTTATATTTCGATTTAATAATTGCGTCGCATACACTTGAGATGAAGAGCATCGGTGGAATCGAAAGGCTTGCATTCAACGCTAGCCCGCAGCCAATCGGCAGTCAGGCAGACTGGTCTTCGCCCGCGGCGTCAACCGCACCCCTGTCTGCGGTACAACTGCACGCGACAATATCGCAGTGGATTTTTTTTAAACTGCGGTTTTGAATATTTTTTGCACAAATAGATTTTTTCACCAAGTCGATGCAATATATTTAAAATATTTGTGGTCTTTTAATGTGATAATGAAATACAATTTTTAATGAATCGAAATTTAAATGAACATATGCTAGTTTCATGTTTCACTTCACTATCACCGACTGTATCCCGGGACGTAGTAGGGCAGAAAAAATACTCTCCTTTAATATGTATATAGAGGAAACAGTACGAAGATTTCTTCACTTTTTAACTAAGATTATAATATTATCGCATCCGTTTTAAAACAAAATTAAATTTTACGAAGTCAGATTATCTTCAAAGTAATGAAAAGTAATAGCCCTTCTTTATAGAGGTCTTTAAAGTCATATCTATATGTGCTATTAAGAGAAATGTAACAACCATAGAACGTTTCCTAATCTACGAACAAATGAATGTATATTCACCATTAAGGTTTATTAAACTCTAAAAACCCTTTTCCAACAGCGAGACTCAACCGTGCAACTAATCACGACTGCTGCCGGCTATCTTCTATTGCGGCTGGTTATGGACATAATAGTTCTGCGGCTAGTCGGTTCGTCGAAAAGGAGTTTAACAAACTAGTCGTGGGGATCGCTTACGTCTGTAATGCGAGAGTACAAAATCAACAAATCATTCTGTCTTTTTATCTCGATCCTGGCTCGTTGACAACTTGACGTTGTGCGTTGGTGGAAATGACAGGAGTTAGATGTCATACCTTCAAATAAATATCGAATTGCTGAGTGACGCTTAATTAGTACGATTACCTGTGTGATATTTCCGTGTTATTGAGCAACAGTTATTTGGATGGTAGGATGTAAAATGATTCGATCTTTCTCTTACATATATATATAGTTATGGTTATTCGGCATTTAAGATATTTGCTTAACCATCCCGGAATCTTTTGCATTTTCTAACGAATATGGACACTTCTTAAATTAACCCAATTTACATCTTTACCAATAGCAATAAAAACAGCTACTATAGTAGTTTTTGTTCACTCCTTATAAATTAATAATAAAGGAATATAGCTCTTTTAAAACGCTTCATCTGTTTACTTGAATCTCGGTCTATACCGGTCCGAAGGCAGCGCTCACCTGCCGACTGATTCATGGAGCTCTTACTACTAAATTATGCGGCCGGCGCGCCCGCCGCTTTTTATATCCCCCCTACAAGTAAGTGTTTAATTTAAACGCCATTCATGCGCACCGATATGTAATACCCGTACCTTTCTCGTATGTTTCGTTTCATTGAACGTTTCAATCGAGATTTCGAGTTCGAAGCATTTAATTATTATAAATACTCTTTTTTGGGACTCAGTGTAGTGGACGATAATGGGTAAACGTTGTGGTTTACAGTTTTAATGGAGTATTCAAACTTTCGTGAGACATTATAAGAAACTGATATAAAAACGGCTAAACACTCACGTATATTCGTCCGGTGGCGGCACCGACTAGTTTCGAGCCAATCGGGGGCCCTTCATCAGGATGAGTGGTACTGGTATCATTTCGCGGACGCGGCCCGTCGCTCAGTCGACGGGCCCCGTCTTTAATTCAATTTAACATACATCCTTAGGAAATTTTAATTAAACGTAAATAAGTACATCGGAGATATGCTTAGGTCATCTCTAAATTCATCGTCTTTAATCGAAAAAATAAGTACCTTATACATCTAAGCATTGTGAGAAAAAGCCACACGTAATTCCGTTAGGATGATTCATCGCGCCAATCGGAAACCGTTACATTGCTCTTGCAATTAGTAAACTAGAAAATAATACGATTAGGAATCTCGATTAGTACTGAATCATCGGCGTAATCGAATTAGCGCGAATGCTCGATACATCGAATCAATCATGGTAATGCGGTGCGCGGGCCACGCTCGCGAAATATCCAATTTTAGTCATGTCATCGCTCAAAATTGACGCTAAGCCAAACATTCTATAACGATAATGATACGATCTCTGCAGCTAATTTAGTGTGTGAGCCTAATTGGAAGCTTCCATGCTTGTACAATCTCGATGTTTACTTGCTGAAGGTCCAGTTAGCGTAATTGTGACAGTTTCTCTTTGGTAAGCTTTTTAATTGGAAATATATAGATTAGTGAATTTGAATTCTATGCAGGGTTGAAAATGTGGTAAATGTTACCGTAAAACGGACAAGTGTGATAAATGCATTTATTTTATTTTTAATCTGGAAATTCTAGAAATGTTACTGTTAACAATTTTAGAAATATTACGAGTACATTGATACAACACATTATTTTTTTTT